GGTGTGTACCTGGACGCCCATCCCCGGACACAAAGAACCACCAACGCACCGATGTCTGAGGGCGTCTGCCACTGGCAGGGGGAGTGGTGGTGGGAGATAGGCCTCCAGAAAAACCAGTTTCTGCATTTTTAACATGAACATGAGCTTCAAGACAGGAAATTAGGAAAAGCAGAACGGTTCTAGATTTATAAAAGATTACTAAGCAAACGTTTGCTAACAGTAGACACACAATAGATGTCTCCAGAAAACGACGTTCTCCACTCACCTGCTGCTTTCTGGCACTTAGCGGCCATTCGAGCAACTATGGGTCATGACAGGTCAGGTGGAGGCTTCTGATTGGATAAATCTGCACATGCCTGTTGCTATATAGCTGTGCTAGCCAACCAGTTAGCATGTACAGATTAATATGTTTATATGGAGCTAAGTACTTACATAATCACACGGGGAACCTCCGGTCTGTCCGGTCAGAAGCTCCGAGGACTTCTGCTAAAGTGAAGCACTTAGAAAACGTGCTGGTCACACACTTTTGTGGGATCCACTTCCTGCGTTTGTAAAACAGGCTAGCTAAAGTTCTCTGTGATAGCTAGCCTACAGCTAACCCGCCTATCGAACCTCTGCAATCCACGTTCACGTCTTTGTCTGTGGTGAATGTTTACAGCATTAGCATCTCATCTTTCTCAATGAACTCAAAAACAAAGCGGCCTTTATGTCTTTATTAAAGTTACGTTGTGAGTTTTGTGGGATTTTTCCACACAGGGGCTAAAATTAAAACAATTTTTAGTTAAAATTGGGTAAAATTTTATTACAAAGATTGAAGTTTTTCGCTGCATGAACGCAGCATTAATCATATAAAATGTTGGTAACATGGCACTTTGGATACATGAAATGGGAATTTTCATATGAATCATAAAATTCAGTTGATTTGGTGAAAATTCAATTTTGACAGTGAAATTAAAGCTGTTAAAGTTGATATTTAATTTCTTAGTTTGCTTTAGGAGACCAAAGAGTCGAGTTTGTGTATCTGTTTGTTTTTAAATGAAAAGCAATGAATTTATGATCTGATTCAAAAGGATTTCACAGAAAAACACAGAAAATGAATATTTTGTCCTGAGTGAACAGACGATGTTTTCATGTTTTTAGTTTCTCTGCTGTTGTTTCATCCTCTCGCTCTCTGCACATCAAGAACTCCACTTCCCACAATGCTTTACTCTTCATTGTTCTGAACTGAAAAAAGAAAAGACAATCCACAGCCGTAAATTTGGGAGAAAACGCCGTCCAATCAGATTCCGGCTGTTTGTGTGTTGTGTGTGTTTCTATCAGTATTGTCGATTTGTTCACCAAAAGTTTTGGAGTGTTTGTCGCCTTTTTGATGAAGTTACATGTTTTTACTTTTTGGATTTTTTTGTTGTTATGATGGTTTCATGGAGGAGGGCAGAGCCTCCTCTTGTTCTTCTGGACTGTGGGGCGACCTCGGAGTTGGTCCTGTGTACATGGACACAAACAAAACGTCAGTGCAGAAAAAAACTCAAAAAGAAGCAAAAAATAAAAAAACAAACAAAACGTGGTTGTTATTTGTTCAAATTTTGTTTATATTGAAATGAAAAAAAAAATACTGACACTGAACAAAGTGGACAAAGAATAAAAAGTCTATTTTTTATTCTGTATATATGGGAATCAGATTCCAGTATGTTGCATTGCTTTGTTGTACAAATCAAATGTGCTTGTGGCATTTTTCTAATCTAATTTATTTTATAGTATTTTTTGTTTTTCTGCTTCACCATTAAAGTTTAAAGGACGTACACAAGAGTCACGAGTCATCGTTTCTTTTCCTGTGAAACTGGACGTGTGGCGTGTTTAAAACATCATGTCCAGTTTGACCTCTGACCTCTTCCTCAAAGTCACTAGATTGATCTGAAGTTTGCTGTTCAGAGCTGTTTCAAACTGGTTCTTGCTGCCATCGTTTGCATTGATGACACAGAGATATAACGTTAAGTATCGTCACTTTAAAATACAGTTACCATGGTGACCCTCAGGTTTAAGGCTCCACTCTTGGACCACACTCGTGCACGAGGAGGAGGCGCAGCGGGAGCTCGCTTCCTCACGCAGAGGCAAAAATGTAGTCTGTGCTGCGATCCACGAGGACAGAGGTCAGAGGTCACCCTCAGCTGACCTGTGACTTATTACAGCCGCTGGGAGCCTGAGTGTTTGCTCTGCACTCTGAACTGAAAACAGTGAGTGGGAACAAGCTGAGAGGAAAGACACAAATCATGCGAGCATAAACACAGAGCGGGCCTGAACACATGCAGCAGGTGTTACAGGTGGTGTCCAGAGTCATTTCCTGTCTTTGGTGGGACCAGTGTTGGAGTCAACGCCATAAAAAAGTAATGTTTTACACATATTATACAGAACTGTTTTCTTAAAAGGGTTCATGACATTTCCTTCATGTGACTCTGTAAAATCATCTGTCTCATAATCACCATTTAACAACATAAACCTGAGGCTACAGCCCCTCAGCACAGATCTCTATCCTAATGAGGACACGTGTGAGCTTCCTCTTAGTATTTAGGTTTGAACACAACCAACACAAAGAGGCTTTAAAGTGGTCGCCATGGTGATTCTACTGTATAAACAGGAACAGGTAGAAATGAGGCTGCAGCCTGACTGATCATCAGTTTGTTACCTGTTGAAGTTCAGGCTCTGGCTGCTGGGCCGAGGTCTGCACACGCTCAGCTTTAGCTCTGGGTTGTTGGATAGCTAGGTGTTAGCATGCTGTCTGTGCAGATGCTTGCGGTAGTTTGTGTCCTCTCCTGACACAAACGACAATCAGCTGATTGTAGCCCAAGTGTAGGCAAGCAAACTAACAATTCCAACTTACTGACCTCCTGGGAACCAGTTCTTGTAGGAAACTTCTTCCCTATATGCTGCAGTGCAGGTGGTTTCCTTTGAATGTTTTCCCTCACACACCTCAGGACATCCCAGTGAACACACAGACTGTCTCATCCTGATTTGTTGCCACAGGCAGCTCTGATCAGCTGACGATGCTCCACGTGAAGCTCAGGTCAGTTTGTGGATAGCAAACACTGAATCAGCTGCTGGTCACGTCTTAAATCTCGCCTGGACGTCCTTGTTACACTTTCTCTTGTCTGTGTATTGATTAGAGTGAAATGAATTAAACAGTAAATACTTTTTCTTGAGTGACTCTTTCCATTATGACGCTGGCATCGCACCCAGAGCAGAGATAACTGTGAGAGTCTGAGGTGCTAAAGTCCCCACAAAACTGCAAAAGGCTTAAAAGTGTTTAGTCTGCAGACAGACTGTGGAGCACAGCTGTGTGGACATTTCACCACTGTGTCGTAGTTTTGACCGTGGAGACGGGGTCGAGGTGGCGGCCATCTTTGCAGAGGTTCATTAAACTTCAGTTATTATTAACCCGAGGTCACTGCAGAGGTAGAGGTCACTGCAGAGGTAGAGGTCATTGCAGAGGAAGATGTCACTGCAGAGGTAGA